GGGGCTGGCCATGGACTCGCTCATGCCAGGGGCAGGGCTACTGGGAGACAGCCCTGCTGGCCTGGCCCTCTTTCTGTCCTTTCCACTCAGCTGCCCTCTGGGCTTACACTGGCTACAGTCAGTGTAAAAGTTTCTATGACTTTCCATATAAAAACCCCAGATAAAGCTGGGTTCAGTGGCATGCATCTGTAGTCCCAGATACTCAGGAGGCTGAGGTAGGAGGATCGCTTGAGCCCAGGAGTTTGAGGCCAGCATGGGCAACTTAGCAAGACCCCATCTCCAATGAACAAACCAAAACAAAGCCTCAAATAAGAAGAGAACACACACCATAAATCAAGGTGATGTCATGGAAACTCTAACAACTGGCATTGGTAAACACCGGTACCAGGGCCTGGAGGGAAGCCCAGGGATCAGAGGAAGGAGAGCTGACAGGGGTCTCCACAGGAAGCAGAGACGGCAGATCTGACAGCCCAGCTCCTGACCCAGCCCCACAAACACCCACCCAGCCTCTGAGGTGCAGACCCCAGCTAGGACCGAGGCTTCCACTTTCCCGTCTAGTCCCAGCTTCTCAATGCTGCTGCCCGTTAGGAAGCCCTGAGGGGAATGAGGCAAGCAGCTCGTGCCCAGGTTCCTCCCAGCTCAGGCGAGCAGGCTCCCCCGGTGGGCCCTGGACACAGCATTCTTGAGAGCTCCCCTGGGGGATTCTGAGGTGCAGCCAGAGCCAAGACCACCGTTCTACTTCTCCCAAGCCCTGCAGAGGGTGGAGAGGGAGATGCCATCCCTGAGATGCCAGATCATCAGTTTTCAACAGGAAATCCCCAAATCTAGATAATATGACATCTCCTTATTTTATAATGTTAGTTAAAATGTATTAAATTCTATGTAGATCAAATAAAATAGATCTGCAAGCCACTAAAGAAGCACCTGACCTATAAAGTCTTGAAATTTTGACATTTTTTATCCTGCTCCCAACCACGTGGTCTTTGGAAGTCACTATGCCTTGGCTGGAGCTGCCTGAAGCAACCACAAGTCCTAGTGACAGGTGCACTGCAGAGATGATGGGCTGACCCCGCACACATAACCATCTCTCCCTTGATCTCAGCCTTGCTTTCTTGAGCACTTGGCTGATTGTGATCCCACTTGAACCCCAGCCCCGGGCAGATGCTCCAGCAGAACAAAGAATGGGGGAGGCAAGTCCAAGTGGGGGCTTTCTCCTTATCCAAAGCTGCTCACCCCAAGTTCACTCTTGGGTCTTTCTTTTTGAGTTGTTTTGGCTTTTAATAGCACTTAAAATGTATTTTTAAAAATCACCTTTATTGTAAAAATATTATTAAGTTTATTGTAGAAAATTTGGAGATGTGAAGCATAAAGAAGAAAATGAAAATCACGTACCATCATAATTTGAAAGATTCTGGGGTGTTCTGAGAGTGGCCCTGCTGCAGTGTAGATAAGAACCCAGGGCCTTCTCCAGTGGGGATTACTGGTTGCCATTTTCAAGAGCCAGGACATTCATCACCTCCACGGGGCTGACCCTTCTGACCTTTGATACTTGTCAGAGAACACCTCACTGTGAGGTCTACGTTTCTTCTTCCTAATAATAACAACAATTCATCTTACAATTATAGAGATATTTTAGGGAACCACCTCTGCTGTCCAGGGGTGCTGTGCTGATGGCTGGAAATGAACCAAGACCTCTGGCTGAGGCTGCATGTGCCCCCTGGTGGCAGCCAGGGGGGATGACTTTGGGCAGTCATGGGTCAATCTTATGCTCAAGTCAGTGGTTCTGGAAGTGGGGGCCCAGGACTCAGCCTCACTTGGGAACTTATTAGAATTGTGATTTAAGGGGCTGGGGATGTGACCCTGTGGTGGAGTGCTTGCCTAGCATAACACCACTAAAAATAATAATAATAATAATAATAATTTTAAGCACCTGCCAGCTGGTGCATCACAACTCAGGGGGATACAAGACTCCAACCAGGTTGGGACAAAGGCAGAGGAACTAAAAGCAAATGCTGAGAAGGGAATAATTCACAGGCATTCAAAGGACACCCAAGAAGGAAGGAAGCATGGCTTCCTTTGCCAGAGCCTCTGAGACACTCATTCAACAGGTCCCTTTCTGGAGGAAATGCTTGAGAATTCCATTACTGTCACAATGAAAAATCCCCACACCAATGCACCGTACAGGGGGCTGGCTCTGGGGGAAGTCAGGTCTAAGGCTCCGACAGGGTGAGGAATGGACGTGCCCCCTGAAGGTTCCCTGCAGCAAGGGTTTCCAGACAGCTGACGGCTCTCAGTGCATCCAGCTGTTTAGGATAATCTTTGCACCTGGCTGAGTCAAGCAGGAGTTTGTAGAGAAAATCTGACAAGAAAATCAAGGTTTCAGCAGAAGCCAGAGACAGGCAGATGGGAGATGTCATAGCAAATACGCTATTTCAAATTTCTTCTTTTCTTTCCAGAAGCAATTCTGTGTAGACTTGTCATTCTCCTGGTGCTGCTGCAGAGGTGCTCTGACAACACCATATTTTACACGCTCCATCTATTAATTGACCCTTACTCTTTCAATAAATATTTACTCAGCACCTACTGTGTAGATGTCATTATTCTAGATTCTGGGTTTACAGCAGTAAACAGACAAAAATCTTGATCCTCATGGATCTTTTGTTCCAATGGTGGGGAAACAAATTTTGTAAAAGGGGCACGTCTTGGAGAGCTTCATCTCCTGCATATCTCCTCATCAATGTACATTTTTTTTTTTTTGGTACTAGGGATTAAACCAGGGGTGCTCAACCACTAAACCACATTCTCATTTTTTAAAAAAAATTTTATTTACAGACAGGGTCTTGCTGAGTTGCTTAGAGCCTCACTAAATTGCTGAGGCTGGCTTTGAACTTGAGATCCTCCTGCCTCAGCCTCCCAAGTCACTGGGATCACAGGCATGTGCCACTGAACCTGGCCTCAATTAACTCTTCAATTCTAGATTTTCAAAGCCCAAATCTGGGCTTATTCTGAACTAGAAGAGAGAGGGCGACATTGCTGATTCAGGTAAGTCAGCATAGGGCAGGGCTTCTAGAACACCATGCAGTTGGGACTGCGGCTGGGGCTCAGTGGCAGAGCACTTGCCTGGCATGTGCAAGGCACTGGGTTTGATTCTCAGCACTACATAAAAGTAAATAAAGGTTTTCTGTGTTCATCTACAACTTAAAAAAAAATGCAGTGGAATCTCGGGAGATGTGTTCAGAATGCCGATTCAGATGAGGTTGATGGTTCTGGGGGAGAGCCCGAGTTCCTGGTCCTGACACGGGTGCTGGTGCTGCTGGTCTGCGGCAGCTGAGGACACTTGAGTAGCACTGGTTTAGGGTTCCAGCTGTGAAGGACAGAGCTGGCCCCAGGGCAGAAGTTCTCGGTGGGATCTCCTTGCTGCCAGTCTGAGCTGATAGAGTCAGTCTTCTTTGATCCCCTAGTCCCCACAGCACCCCCTCCAAGCAGGAGGGGTGGCAGGGAACAAGACTCCTTAAAGGTGAGGGAGGAGCAGGCCGAGGGCAGTGGAGGTCAGCAGGGGAGGGGCCAGGAGCAGACCCCCATCCCTGTCGGGGGGCTTGGCCATGCATGCCCCAGGGCTCTGCGGGAACTCCAGCAGAGTGGCCCTCAAGGTGGCAGGAGCCTTTGGTAAGTGTTGCCAGGCCTGTGAAGAAGCCAGCTCGGCTGCACACGTCACTGTCACACCAGCCAGCATTTATCTCAGTGGCCCTTTAACCCACATGGGCCTGGCTACCAATCCCTCGCTCCCCAAAAACAGTTTATTAGTTCGACTTCACAGAATGGGCTCCGGGGTAGGTTTTCTTCTTTCTCCAGCTCCTTCTGCTGTGGTGTGAACGGCACCAGCAGCGATCTGATGGCAGCTGCTGGAAACGTTCAGTCGGCCTGGGAGGCCTTGAGAGCCAGGTTCAGGTGCCCAGTGAGCATGGGGGAAGAGGATGATGGGAGAAAGGGCCATTCCCTTCCTCCAGACCAGGAGGCAAGGATTTTTATAGGACGCCTTGGAAAGATCTTCACAGGGAGGATGAATATATATAAAGTGGGGGAGATGTGGCTAAAAAGAGGTTCTTCAGCGAGTCAAAACACACGCAGCCCATTCTTCCTGTAAATGTTTGACCATCTAGAGTGGCAAACAGTGCTTGGCGGCATGTAATAAACACAACGTACTAAGATGTGGAGGCACTTTATTGTGGGCCTAAAATAACAAAGACAACAACTCAAGATTTCCTTGGTGGAAAAGAACGTGCCAATGAGAACTCAGTACCGGGCACATTCCTTCAGGAAAGGCAAAGGCAAAAGCCCAGCCCAGCCCCAGCGTTTCCCTGGGGAACTCTGTTCATGGTATTAAGTGTGGTGTCTGCAAGAGACTTACTGGCCAAGACTCAGGCTATCCAGCAGCAAGGACAGAGGGTGAGGTGCCAAGAGCAGAATTTTCCAAAACTCAAGCCAAGATCAATTGTAACAATGGCCAAGAGAGGAAAACACGGGCCAAGGGAGGCAGCTGGCTTCTCAGAAGATGAAAACAAAGCCTTTAAAAACAAGTGAGGACGATGAAGGCACTCGGGACTGCAGCAGACAGGGCACCCAGCAGGACACTGGTCACTAGGTAGCCAACAAGATTCTGGAAAACGGGAGAGGGCAAGGCATGGTGAAGGAAATTTGCCCTCGAGATTTTCTCACCAACTATATCCCCCAACCGTGCTCTTACTTGCTTTCTGAGGAAAGGAGGGTCACACCAGAAAACAAGGCAGTGCTGGCTCTCATCAGATGCCGGGGACAGGAGCTGGTAGAGCACCCGACAGAAACTACGGCAAATGAAGACCCTCTGTCCCTGGGCAGCGGCCCTGCCTCGCCACACCTGACGTGGGCAGGACAAGAGAGAACAAAAGGACAGCCCTCTCAGCCCCACTCGGACTGTCTACTTTGCTGTGTCCTCCTGAAAAGTTAAAAAGGCAGAAAACTAGTTTTATCAGTAAGAAAATGTTTATTCTTTTGAACCCCACAGGGGGAAAAAATAAAAGAATGCAGCCAAGACCAAGTGTTTAACGAAAATAGTGTCTGAAGGGCAGCAAAATGGGGGTAACCTCAACACAAAGTCAGTGACAATTTTCCATGTTTTTGCACAAAGATGAAAAAATCTATGACAATTTTGATAACACTTTCATGGTGACGATTACACAAGATGATTCAAAAATGCAAATGGCAGCAACATGCACACCTGGCTAAAGCTAGGAGTTTTTATTTTAATCCCAAAATAAGACCTGTGATTAAAAGAATGATTCTTTTTAATACTTCTAGTTCACTGACTTGTCCTACTTAATTTGCTTTAAATGAGACATACATGCCAATTAACAGGAAATTTTAGAACTATGTCCTTCCAGGACCCATGGCAAGGAAGCAAAACCAATCTATTTGGTTTCTTAATTTTTCCTAGTTTCCAATACAATTTTGCTTTGTCCCTCTCTCCCAGTCCCTCCCCCCACCCCACCCAGATTTTAAAACACTTCCAAAAGTTGCCTGTGCAAACACTTTTTTCTACCAATGTATAATACAGAGTTGAAACCAATATCTTTGTGCAGTTTTGATTTTAAAATTCTTAAAAAAACTAAACAAAAAACCAACCCTCCTTGGCACAAGAGCTGAGGAATAGTCACGCCTCTTTTAAAGTGTCAAACACAAGATGATGAAAAGTCGATAAAGCACAGTTACGTGAAATGAGGGGAAAAAAAACCAACCTAGACCACAGCTTTTATTAGCCACGTTACAGTCTCATACACAATCGCCACCAGCTTCCTCCCCAGGCGCTCGACACAGCACAGGACACCAGGTGCTTTCCATCAAAGGGAATAATAGAGGTGGCCAGGTGGCAAGGGACAGCCGCTACCCGCCAGTTTCACAGCAGGATCTGCAGTGAGCTTGATACAGACAGGAAAGAGATGACAGAAGGGGGAAACAGTTTAGAGTGGTCAAGTTTCCTCTTGAAGTCTTTGCCCAGGCACTGTGAGAAGACTGCTGCCCGCCATTTCCTAGGACTAAATAGCGTTGGGAGGTGAATTTTTGGAACGTAACCCTGTTCGTCCCTACGCTAGTCACCTCGCTCAAGTCTCTCTGCCTAAATGATGCTCCTTGAATTGGTTTGGTCCTTGGAGGGGCTATCAATTTTCACTTTCTATAATATCGATAATCATCTTCTTTAATGCAACTATAAATCAAAGCTGTTAGGTAACTTAACCATTCACTCTAAAAACTAAGCTTCTGTCCTCATCCCACGTAAATCCAATGTGCAGTTTTTGCTTATTTATTTAAGAATAAAGCAAAACAAAGCGTTGAAAAGCAAAAACTCTGCTTTTTTTTTTCTTCAAGAGGAAACTATTTAAGAATACAGAAAAGGCAAAATTGGCTACTTGAAATCCAAGAATGGTTTTAATGTGTTGGCCAAGAAAAATAAACTGCAAAGTTCTGTGAGGTCTTCTAAAAATTTACAACTGATGGGCAGTTCTAATCAGACTTGGATGTCATCTTCCCCCCTTTTAAAAATGACAACATATACAGTCCCACAAAATACAATATAAACTTTTTTTGTCTTGACTGCCAGAGATGCTGCTTTGTGAGGCCTTCTGGTAACCAAATGGTTGGGCAAACCCACAGCTGGCCTTCATTTCTTCAGGGGCTGGTAGACAGAGGCATTGGGATCAAGTCCAGATGGGCTGGTCTCCACAAATTTGGAAGAATAGTGGGGGGAAACGGGGCTCAGGGGGCTGGTGGCGGCACTGTACGTTATGCTGGGCATGACGGCCATGACTTCGGCTATCTTCTGTTTTAGGTCCTTGATTTCCTGGTCTTTCTGAAGGATTTGTCCTGTAAGATCAAAGACCTGCCATTAGCAAGGAGGGAGGGCTCACTCGGCACAATGCTCCCTTGGGCCAACCCCAGAGCGGCCTTGGCTCCCCCCTGGAACAACTCCAAGGCTTACGAGGCTTATGGCTTATAAGAGCAAAGCAGACTTTTCCTTTACTGTAAAGGTCACATACTGAATATTTTAGGCACTGTGGGCCGTGTGCTGTCTTTGTCATTGTTTTCTTCCCCAACCCTAGGAAATGTAAAAGCCATTCTTAGTTCACAATGGTGTAAGAATAGGCAGAAGGCCAGATCCGGCCTATGGGATGCTGTTTACTGATTCCTAGCTTAGAGGTAAAAAGCGATTCTGCTCACATATGTGTGACAAGAGTGACAAAATCAATTTCCAGGAGCCACATCTTGAACTGGCAGTCATCTCCAACAGCCTAAGAGGGGTACTGATTCTGAACTGTAGCTCTACCCACTGGGCTGGAATTCTTTCCTGGGGGGATGGGCTGAGCGTCAGACCAAAGAATATAAAACTGAGGCCTCAGAACTAGTGGTGCCAGATTCCCTCACAGAAGCAGAAGCTCTGGGACTGCTGCCCTAGGGAAAGTCTCCAGTGGCCAAGGCTGCCACTGTGTCCCTGCCTCTTGGCACAGTGTGCCTCTGACCCCCGCCCAGTGTGCAGCTGGCTGGCCGTGTTAGCACCAAGATCCCGTTCAGCTTTCGGCACACCCGCCCTCTGTGTGATCACTGGGCTTCAGCTTTGTGATCTGATCAGCTCTGGCTGCCTCATGGCCTGTCCCCTTTGGGTCTTCTCCTATTGTCCCTGCCCCACTAACTTGAGGGTTTCCACTTCCTCAGCAAAGCCCTCCTTGGTCCTGCCATCTAAATCAGCTCCCCTGGCTCTCAGACTCTCAACATGCCCTAACAACCTTCCTTTCTGTCCCTTACTCTCCACAATAATCATGATGACAGTGACTGACTCATAGGGCTTCACAGGTGCCAGAAGCTGTTCTAAGTGCTCACATCTACTAGCTCATTTCTTTCTCAGGACAACCCTAAGAGGTGGGAATTATCATCACCACCCATTCTGCAGATGAAGAAACCAATGCATAAGAGGGGTCGAGTGATTTGCCCAAGGAATACAGACAGCAGAGAGCCAGGGCTTGACTCCATGAAGCCTGCTGTAGTCTACACTCCCAGCATTCTTCTGCTTCCTGAAATTAATTCTTTGAGTGATGATCTGTGTCCATCATCTCCCTGCTCAACTTGAGCCCTGTGAGAGCAGACACTGCGTCTCCATTTTTTCCCATCGCCATCCCTCCACTGCCCAGCCTAGTGAAAAGCGGAGGCTCTGCGAGCTCTGTAGCTCACTCAAAGTCACTTAGTTAGCAAGAGCAGGATTTAAGCCCAGGATCACTATGTTCAAAAGCCCACGAGACTGCCATCGTGATATGTGGCTCTGAGGGGGAAGTAAATAAGAAAAGAGAGGGGCTGGGGCTCAGAGGTAGAGCACTTGCCTAGCACATGTGGGACACTGGGTTTGATCCTCAGCACCACATAAAAATAAATAAGTAAATAAACAAAATAAAGGTATTGTGTCCATTTACAACTAAGAAAAAGAAAACAAAAGAGGTTGACTGTGAACTGCCCTTATTTTGAGACCGCTCATGAGTCCCCGGGAAGAGGACCGTGTACTTGGAGTGAGAGTGCTTGAGGCACATGTTTTAAAAGGATGTAGTAGAGATGAAAGTCATTTTGTGACCAGGATGAATCAAATGATACAGAAAGGAAGGAGAAAAGCAACGGGGGTTTTGATTTGAATTACAAAGCTGGATTCTTATTAGAATATTCTAAGCAGGACAGGGGAGGCGGGCAGTGGGGAAGGCAGCAGCCAGGAGCAGTGTTTGAAAGGGACTGCTCCCTCACTTCCTTCTTCTCCCGTAAGCTTCAAATGAGCATCAAATATCCTCCTCTGCTTTGAACAAAATAAGCTTCAGATGAATAAAATACCTAATGGCATCTGATACGTGAGCCACTCTATCTTTTCCAGGGCAGATTTGAGTTCTTTCATCAGGAACATGAACACATCTCACAAGCTTTGGGAAAGAGCCCCCCTCACTCCCGAGGATTCCTGTGCTGTCTGTGAAGCACAGCTGGGCTGGGAAGGCCCCTTGGCTCCTGAGACCAGGTGCTGCTTCCGCTCCAGGGGATCTTTTCAAGTATGCAAACGCAAGTGAGCGGGGTGCAGTAGCCGGGTGCCCATTCCCCAGGGAGCTGAACCAGGCAAGCAAAAAGACCAGTAATGGGTCAGAAACTCAGCTTCAGAGGTGGCTTCTCAGGAACCTTTGTTCGCCACACCTTTCCCCCAAGTCCACAGACTAAGGTAGCCTGGTGCCCAATCCCCTTCTCTTGTCAATCACCTGGGCCGTCCCCAGCTACTTCTGTGGCCTCACTAACTTCCCCCAACTTCTACACCCACCCTTCACCCCCAGGGGTTTGGCTTCTCTCTCTGGTTTAGGATGAAGGTTCCCACTGATTGACAAATCTCCCCTATCTGGGTGTCTGGGGCACACCTCTAAAACAAAACACCCCAAACCAAACTCATGCTCCCTAAGCCGTGCTACCTCCCTTCCTTGGCTCCGGCTGGACCTCAGGCATCTCCTGACCTCAGGACCATTCCCTCTCCAGTAGTCAACTCCCCGGTACTTCAACTCCTGCACTGAAGACGGGGAGAAGCTCCCATCTGACCCCTCTGCCTCCTCTCAATCTCACTTCTCAAATCCAAATTAGCAGCCAGAACATATCACCTCACACCTCTGGAAAATCTAGGGAATATGTTCTCTGGCACGGCTTCATCAGTGTCCTCTTAACCTTCCACTCTTTTCTTTCATCCCCCAGCTTGAGGCCACTAGATTACTCACCCAGACATCCCCAACGATTTCTTTCTCTTGCTTATACTACTTACTCCTTCATGTAACAGCGTTTCTCCCTGCCATTCTCTGTTCTCATTCATCCTTCCAAGCCTAGTCTTCAAAGCCCCCTCCTCCAGGAAGCCTCCCTGAATTCTTCTCTGGCCTCTCCTGACCTCTGCCTCTGCTTCGTGGAGAGGCCATCTGCTTGGCTTGCCCTCATGCAGCAATTCTGGAAGTGCAGGCAGGGTCCACAGTGTCAGAACTGCCTTGATAATAACACCAAGACAGCTGGCTTCTGCACCCTCATTTTGTAATGAATATAAGTGGAGTCTTCTATAAATTACACACAGTGTAAAAACCCAACAGAATGAATATAAAACCAGAAGAGAATCAAAATACCCTTCATTAAATCAAGCATTAAAAATATTTGCTAAATGTAGGATTGGGGGTGTGGCTCAGTGGGTGGCTCACTTGCCTAGCACATGTGAGGTCCTGGGTTTGAACCTCAGCACCACATAAAAATAAAGGTATTGTGTCCATCTTCAACTAAAAAATTAAACACACACACACACACACACACACACAAATACATGTTAAATGTAAAACAATGTCACTTTTCTTTTTTTTTTTTCCTATACTAAGGGTTGAACTCAGAGGCTGAGTCACATCCCCAGCCCTTTCTATTAGCATCTTTCTAGTTGCTTAGGGCTTTGCTAAATTGCTGAGGCTGGCCTCAAACTTGTGATCCTCCTGCCTTAGCCTCCCTCCCAAGTTTCTAGGATTATAGGTATGCACCACCACACCCAGCAGACTGGGCACTGATTGACAAATCTCTCCTATCTGGGTGTCTGGGGTGCACCTCTAAAAAAAAACACTTCAAACCAAACTCATGCACCCTAAGACATCAGCTGGTTTCTTCATCCTCATTTTGGGCGTGTAAAAATCTTTTCTACATTTTTTTGTTTTTGTTTTGGAAAAAAGTTTTTTTTTCATAAAAATGTTATTTATGTTAAAATAGAATATGTTTATGTTATTTTAAAATGGATTAATAAATAATAATTAATAAATAAAAATTTTAAGTTTTAATTTCAAATAGGTAGATAATGATAGATATAATCTACTTGAAATAAGCCTATCTGTGCTACTCAATAATTTTAAAAATTTGCACACCACTGCCCTGGTAGATCCCCCACTGATCTGCTGTGTTCATCTCTGCCTCCCCTGGAGTTTTCAGGATAAGGATTTGCAGAGTACAATTACTAGAAAAGTCCTGATGAAACAGTCTTTCCCATCCACTAAGCCAATTAACTGGAGGTTTTTTTCAGTATCCCACTCAGGAATCTAGTCAATTAGGTGGCTATCAATTTATTGAAGAAACTCCAATTAAAAAAAAAAAAAACAAGGACTTTAACTATCTATCTATTTATTAATTTCTATGTGACACTGAGAATCGAACCCAGTGCCTCACACACGCCAGGCAAGTGCTCTGCCACTGAGCCACGACTCCAGGCCTCCAAATTTGTTTTCATCAGGTCATGTCCTGCCTCAGTTCAGATGCCTTCCAGAGCTCCTCTTGTCTCTCAGAGTAAAAGTCTCCAGTTCTTTCTGGGAACCACAAATCCTATAGAATCTGGTTGCTGCTATTCCCACCCTTGATATGAGGCTGCATTCCCCGCTCCCTGCAGGACTTTGTACTTACCCGCCACCCTAGAAGTGCTTTCCTCCAGCTACCTCCACTCTCTGATCAAATGGTGCCTACTCAAGGGAACTTCTGCGATGCCAGGTAGAAAGAGCAGCCCCCCCACACACAAGCCCTGGGACCACTGCTTTATTTTTGCCATCAACCTTATCCTCCTTTGACATATTGCCCACTGGCTTGTCCACTGTCCCTCACCAGGGCTAAATCCTGGAATCCCCAGGGACTCTCGGGATGCCTGGCACATAGCAGGTCTCAGTGACAATCTGCTGAGTGGATGTCCTGCTCTCCAGACTCTCTTCCCACAGCTCCATCCAAGCAGAGCCAGCTGCAGTTCCGAAGGCATAAGGCCCTGCCTCACCTCCGGCACTTGGTCAGTCTATATCTTTTGCCAAGTGGCCTCCTGAACCCTTTTGCTCCCCTATGCTTCTTATTCACTGTGCCACCCCTTCCCATAATTCAAGCTCTAGCTTAGACATTAGTTCCTCTGAGACATGGCTTCCTTTGACTCCCCAGACTAGTTCAGTCCCTACCTCTCTCTCTGGATTCCCACAGAGCTGGTACATGCTGCTATGTCAGCACCTTTTGATGACTTCAGAGTCACCTACTTGTTCAACAACACCCTGAGCTCCTAGAACGTAGACACTCATAGTCTTTTCTGTACACCCTGCACTTAATATGCTTCCATCTCAAAATATGTCTGCAGGGCACTTACCAAACCACTTGAAGGGAAAACTGAAATGCCCTTTGGTTCAGAGCTCTACAGGGGAGGTCTGCTCTCGGAAGCCCCACCACCCCAACAGGGCCCACCACTCTCCTACCCTGGGCAATCTCAAGCTGCCGTTTTGCGTCGCCCAGTGCAGAGAACAGGTCCAGTTTGATTCTTGTCTCTGCGCTGAGGCTGTTCTCCAGGTGCTGTGTCTTATCTTGCATGGCGGAGAGGGCTGACATTAGCACCTCGGTGTCCTTCTCATTTTCCTTATACTTCCGAAGCTCCTATCAATATCATCAAAACAGCAATGCTACATGGTAGTTTTGGCATCGATGTCTAAAAATTAGCCTGAAATCACAAATTAAATCCCACTATTCTTGACCTGGCCAATAGAACACAGAAATCTGGTACTTTCATGGTATTCTCACTAGTTACAAGCATATGGCAAATGTAGTTATATGGTGACATGTATACACAAAAACATTTAGTGGATAATCATTTGACTATATGAGGCACAATCTAGCTAAAAATGGCCTCTGCCTTCAAAGCAAACTCTTTCTTACAAGCCTACTTCAGAACCATGGAGAACTTTTCCCTGCTGACTACTTGCAAATGCTGGTGTAATGCTGCTGTCAAATTTGCCAAAACTCTTCTCTAAACTTGCACTAAAAATTGCAAAAATATTCGATATTTTGACAGGACAAACTGTAAAATAAGCCCACTTAAAATAGTTGGGAATATAGCCAATAAAAATATATTTGAACTTTTTCTTTTAAGAGAGAAATCCAAACCTATTATGGAGACTTTAAAAATACAGAAGAGTTCAAAGAAAATGCAAATTACCCATAATTACACCACTGCAAAATGTGATATATTTTCTTTGAGCCTTTTTAATGTTTATGTGTATCTTCTAGCATAACTGAAATAATACATATATAATTTGTATAGTTTTTAAAAACTTGTCCTCTCAAATATTCTTCCAAAATCAAATTGTTAATTATATATACAATACTCCTATATGTATATATATATATATATATATATATTAATTTGAATGAATCTTCCATTGTTAAGTTTCCTTTTTTTTTTTTTTACATTTATATACCACTACACAAAACATCTTTGATATATCAATCATTGGTAATATTTTTCAATATTTGCCTTAGGGCTGAATTCCTAAAAAAGTAAATACTTAAAAAGTACCTGATTTTTTCCAGAAGTTATATTTCCATCCACCAGCAATGCATGAAGCTATTTTGTAGCATCTTCACCAAGACTGATACTATCACTTAAAAATTCTTTGCCAGTTTCACAGAAGACAAATTATTTCTAATTTTAATCTGCATATCTTTGATGAATAATCTATTCTTACATTTTTTCAGTCATTAGTATTTCTTCTGTGAATTATCTGTTCATATTTTTGTTTATTTCTCTATATCTGAACTTTTCTTAGTTATTTTATGAGCTATTTACATGTTGAGGATATTCAATAATTATTTATACTTGCTGCAATATGTGTACCTTTCCCAGCTGATTTTATTTTACTCTGATTTCTTCCATTGCTTTTAGGTTTAGAAAGTATCCCTGTTTCAAGAAGAAGTCTACTATGTTTCTGCCTAGCTATTTTGCATTCAACCCTTTATCTAGAATTGCTTTTTGTGTGCTGTGAGATGAGCTTCTAATTTTATTTTTTTCATCACTTATCCAGTTCCAAAGCCTGTTACTAACTCCTGCTCACCTCTCCTGGCTGCATTACCTTTACTATATACTTGAGGCTTTGTCTCTACTCCACTGACTTGCCAGTAATTCTTACCATTTGCTCATGATGTAAATTACTGTAACTTTACTATATATGACATTAATGAAGAGCTGATGGTAAGTACCTGCTTAAGGTACACATGGCCCCCTAAACTGGCTACAGCCCGTCCCGGCATCTTTCCTCACCCTGCACTGCTCAAGACTACAGACTCTAAAGTTCAGAGTCATCCAGAAGGATCTGTTCCCTGGCAATGGACAGACAGACAGTTAGGCTCAGGAAAGATGTTAGGTCCCAAAGGACACTAATCTGGCCTATAACCTGAAAATGTTAAACGGATCTACAGAACGTCAAATCCTGGTGTAAAACATGTTCAGGGATTGCCAACACTTCTGGCTTGTATTAGAATCTGGCTATAATATGAAATGAGCTAGACAAAATTAAGAGTTCAATCTTTTTATCACCTATGAATTTTTAGAGCCATGGGATTTGGTCTGTATCAAAAGGCACTGTCTCCACCTTGCGGCACAGTACACAAAAATCTAGACTGAAAAAGGAGTTCCAGGTCAAGAGGAGACTTTTGTTTCCTTCTTACCTGAACTTTCAATTCTAGTTCTCTGATCTGGTCTTCTTTCACCTTCATGTCCATTGTGAGCTTCTTGCCCTCTGCTTCTAGTTCTCTGATCCGATTCCGTAAGGTTTCGGTGCACTCTCCCCTTTTGAAAAATAAGAGAAGGAAATAAATGAATTTCAAAGACTACAGGTTTACAGTTTTCCCTCTGTATCCATGGGGGATTGGTTCCAAGATTTCACGAATACCAAAATCCATGTATGCTCAACTTCTGTATATAAAATAGCTTAGCGCTAGCATATAACCTCTGCACATTCTCCCATATTTTAAAGCTATCTCTAGATTACTTAAAATATGTAAAGCAATGTAAATGTACGTACTTGTTATACTACATTGTTCAGGGAATAATGATAAAAATAAAAAGTCTGTACATGTTCAATAAAGATCCAGTTTATTTTTTTCAAATATTAACTATCTTGAGATGGCTGAATCTGCTGATGAGGATGGAACCTACAGCTGTGGAGGGCTGACAGTACCTATATTATAGGACTGAGGTTTTTTCTTATACTCAAGGGTCTGTAAGTTTTTAACTTTTGGCTCAATATGTGCAATAACTGTCATCAACTGAGTGTCTCTACAAGCTAGGTACTTTACCCAAACTCCCTTTAGTACATTATCCCATTTTCCAGATAAGAAAGCTGAGATAACACAGATAAAGTAGTCTCCTAGTGTGTAGGTCACAGAATTGAGATAAGAACAGGCTTTCTTGCTTCCCAGTCCAGCATTCTTCCCACCAGGCCACAGTAACTTACTACACACAGAGCAGAGCTGGGTAGAACTGAACATGTACTATCTCTAGTAAGGCTCAATAAACACACAAAAATCCCTTGTTTTTCCACTTTTGGGGGATCACTGTAAATTTCACCTTTGGTTAGTCACAAAGTTGCTGCAGCCTAGAATAAACGGAAAAACAAAAGAGCAACATTAGGCTGCTTCTCAGAGCTAAGGATGAGCTAAAGGGGATGAGGCAGTCCAGAGCTGCGAACTACTAAGTGTTGAGGTTCCAGGCCTGAGAAGTAGGTGTCCTCTGATTACCAAAGGAAGATCCAGTGAGAGACTTGCCCAAGAGTAAAAGCCATTCCACCTAAGAGATGGCAAACAAGAGCCCTCCAAGGACAAGACCCAAACAAATAAGCTTAACTGGAAGCAAAAGCGATTTAGAGTAGACCCTGAAACCAACTGACTGATGACTCTCAGGCATGGAGACACTAATGATGTGGTTAAGGTACTGCTGTATTGTGGCTCAGAGGTAGAGCGCTCAACTAGCACATGCGAGGCCCTGGGTTCGATCCTCAGCACCACGTATTAATAAATAAATAATAAAGGTATTATGTCCAACTACAATTAGAAAAAAAATATTTTTTTAAAAAAGTACTGCTATATCCTACTAAGTAGAAGGTTTTAGAAAAGGTAGGTGCTAGATAAGTTAAGGAAAACATAGCCCATACTGGATGAATATTCAAGAAAATATCCTGCAAGTACAAGTGTATGGGAAATGCTAACACACCTTGACACAAACAACCCATATCAGCAGCAGGCAGTCAGGGGTCTGTCTAGATCAGAGTCTGAGTCTGTCTAGATCAGATGGCCCCCCAGTCCCCCAGTCTCAACCACCCGCAGTCTACAGTCTGTAGGGGGCGGCACACTGGGAAGAAGCATTCTCACTATTCACTGCTATTTCCTGAAAGGTGACAAGATGATTCACCAATTATTCTGCAAATGCCAGAACCCTAAAGAAGGTTATTAACATGCCAAAGGTTGGCAAGTAAATTACTTGTTTAATGCAATAAAGTAAAACTCAAGAAAGAATTGTGGTTGAATTATACCACATAGATACAAATTAGGACAAAAATTCAGCGTGAAATAAAAAATTTACCCTCATTCTGTATCTGCAAGCCCATAACTGACCCCAATCATGCAGATGGAATTCACGAGTCAAAAAACAAACAAAAAGAAGGTGAAGTAGAAACAAAGGAGTGTGGGGGGGGGACTGAACAATCTTCCTTCTTTACTGGAATTCATATGGCAGTTACATATCAGTTTTTGAAACATCTGCATGCAGAGGTACTTCTCAATGGTATGAGAAGTAGTTCCCAGTTTTCATCACCCCACACAATCCACACAAATATTTCTTTCTTGATTTTCCTTCTTTTTCCTTTCCTCCCTCCCTTCCTTGATTACTTTATACCACTGACCTACATCCCAGCCCTTATTAAGGTTGCTTAGGGCCTTGCTATGAGGCTGGCTTCAAACTTGCAGATCCTTCTGCCTCAGCCTCCAGAGCATCTAGGATTATAGTCACTGCCATCATGCCTGGCTCAGCACTCCACAAATCTAATAGAAACTTGTATTTCACCTTTTTTTTTTTTCATCTATTTGATAGTTTGCTGATATCCCACAAAGCCAGGAGCAGTTAGTACACAGTGCCTGGGTAACCAAGATTCTATCATTCTTCCATTTTAAGATAAAAACTCAGAAACACCCACACTTAAGAGCCTTATAAAGGGAGTAAATTCCAGATGAGATCTCTCAACACATTTAGTAATTATCAGTTTTTCTGAAAGTAACTAGAGGCATTCTATAAGCAGCACTTGGTGCAGGGATGCTAAGCCCACTTTATAAATGAGGTCACTAAGGAATGAATTTGTTACAAGACACACAGCCCTTAAAAGCAATCCATCCATGCAAGACTGTGGTCTGTCCAATCCTACCCTTGGCAGCAAATTCCCACATATGTCTTGGGACAAGGAAAACCAACCTGGATTATACATTCCGGTGACATGAACTTACCTAGATGCAGCAGCAAATGCAACAGCCCGTGCGGCAGTGGCTTCTTCTAACTTCTTCCTTTTTTTTTCCTCCATTAACTGTTTTTCTACAAAACTTCGTGCTTCCTGCTCAGCTTTTAGCTTTTTCTCCAACTGGCTGATGTTCTGCTTGTCTTTTTGCTTCATTTGCACAGCATTATGTAACCTATATGAAAACAATTGTCATACAAAGTTTTTATAATAAGAAACAGGCTTCTTTTTTCTCATTTTAAGGTCAAGTAAAACGTATGAAGAGCAAACCTTAAGTACCAACTTCCTGTGTGCCTTGGAAAACACAGCGTCATAACAATGCCTAAACACTAACAAACAGGCTGCTTACAAGACCCAGAATCAGTCCTACCCTCTGTTTTGTAAAGGTAAGTGATCTACAGCAGGTAGTCCAGAGTATAGGATACAAGAAGTTTCTAACAGAGGGGACAATCATTGTAGAACTAATTCCAGTGTCCTGTAGCACCTTAAAAGAATTTTTGTCTGGGTTAAAAAAAAAACACTGCTGGAACCAGCCCCACCAAAAAGAAAATAAGGCTAGAAGGGAGGAGTCTTTCTTATCCTGAATACAATCATGATGGAACCTACTGCAGACTTTTCTTACCAGCTGTAAGACATTTTCTTAATGTCCCTGAATCAGTCTCTTTGGAGTCACCCATAGCTTTACATATCAAAGTGAGGAGGTAACATTCCTCCTTATCAATGCTAGAGAGTTTTTGCCTGTAATGCTCAAATTCTGAAGTTACATTTAAAAAATGCAGGACTCCTCTTCCAACAGGAAAAGCCCAGAGTCTATAATAGTAATCACTATGTCGGGCACATATTGCTTAGATATTTAAAAAAAAAAAAAAAAGACAGCTCTACATTGAGTCAAGTAATTCCAGAATGAATTAATGGAAAGCTTAAGAGAATTCACCCAGATCTGGCTTTTTGATTGCCTCTTCAAGAAAATCAAAGTTTAATGTCATTTTTTAGTTCTATAAGTCAAAGTAGATATAATCTGCCCCTCTGGAAATTGTCACTCAGAGGAACAAGATTTTCCAACTGTGACTACTCCTAACAACTTTACTTATCATGGAAACTATTTTAAATTATTAAATGAGAAGGACAAAATATGAATAAACCTTTGTTGCAATGAAGTAAGTTTTTATAGATCTTGAACATCTGGTAGTACATTAAATATTTTAAACATTTTACTTAGAAACTTCTCTGCCAGGTCCCTTTGTCACCAGGAGGCTTGTGCTCCCATCCCTGGGAACATATAAAAACACTGATGGTCATTTTATATGGGGAACTGGGGAGGGTGCGTCCGGCCACCAGAGACCCGCCAGGTGCGCGTACTTGTTCTGCAGCAGCTCGTTCTCCTGCCGGAGCTGGCCCATTTCTGAGCGGATCCCTCGTTCGGTGCTGGAGAGGGAGCTGATCTGACTGCGGAGCTCCTGTTCCACTTGCCTGCTGGCCTGCAGGTCAGCCTTTAACTTTTTAATGTCTTGTTCCAGCCTAGGAGAAGGAGAAATGTAGCATTTTCATCTGGGAGGGGACATACCCAGGGCTGGGTGAAGGACACTGCCTATAGTCCTGAACTGCTGGGTGGGTGGCAAACTGTCCCACTGGACTTCTGTATGAAATCTGCTTAGTTTTACCGCAGGATACCATTTAAGTCCCTACCCTTTCCTACTAAGGGTAATTTGATTTGCCCTAAATGTTTGCGACACTGATGGGTAAAGATGGTACTTGTGCATATGCTAATAAAGGATGAGAGAAGGAAGAAAGTGTGGCTGCAGGATAGGGTGGCCTCCCTGTGGATGACTTTTCCATGCCCCTCAGCAAGGGGAGTATGTTAAAACAACCAGCTCATGACCCACCCTTACAGCTCTGAGATACTCTGATAGCTCAGCCTCTAGGGTCTGAAATTCCCTCCCACCATGGCTGAGAAGGAAACAATGTTCACATCCAACATCCTGACATGTTAGCTCCTTGCTAAAAATGTTCCTGCTAGTGGAGACTGTGGAAAAGAATGAAAAAAGGAACAACTGACATGCTCTAAAAAGGAGGCTATGATAAAATTCATGCTAGAAGGAATAAAAAACAGCAGCTGCTGTTTCACAAGGACGGATGGACCAGACCCTGTCCTACGGGTTTAATGCTGCGCACTCATTTAATCTCTATACTGGTAAAGTGCAATTAGGATTCCCAGGCCAGGAAAGCCTAGCAGCCCAAGATCCCGGAGGCAGCAGCCCCAGAGTTCCATGCTCTTTTCCACAAGGCCAAATGCAGTTGCATCATCCATAGCACAAGACAGAAGTGCTACCTGGGCTCTGTGGAGACAAGGCTGGGACAGGCTTTGCCAAGAGAATGAGAATTGAGTTGGCCCTGTAGGCTGGACAGGATTCGGAGAAGCAGAGGGGAGGCCGGACATTCTAAACTGGGGAGAATGGTACATAGTCAAAAACTCAGAGCCAGGACAGCCATAGACATCTGGGGGCAAGCACTAGGTGTGGCCTCTTAGGAAGGCTTGTACTGAAATCAGAGAGGGAAAGGATGTGGTAGATAGGACTGTGGTGCTGACGGTCAGGGTAAGAACGTGCCATGTGAGACTGAAAAGACTTTCTACCAGGATACAAACTCACAGGTAGACAAAGGTCACTTTGTTCTATCTATCTATCTATCTATCTATCTATCTATCTATCTATCTATCTATCTATCTTTAGGCTGAAGATCAAATCCAGGGCTTTTTGCATGCAAAACACACACACTACCCCTGAGCCACATTCCCAGCCTCTGATTAAAACCTTGAACATGGGGGTATGGGGGGAAGACACGACATAGCTCAGTTGCTAGAGTGTTTGACTCGCATGCACAAGGCCCTGGGTTCAATCTCTGGCACTGAGAGAGAGAGAGAGAGAGAGAGAGAGAGAGAGAGAGAGAGCGAGAGAGAGAGAGAGAGAGAGAGAGCGAGAGAGAGCGCGCGCGCGCGCGCCAAAGGGCAACTTTACTCCCCTATCTACCATTGAACAGCTTGAAAATTCTCAAGTACCCCAAATCATGAAACACTGATGGTCATTTTATAGGTGCAAGCCCTAAGTGTCCCTGTCCAGTGCTTGGGAGCATGGCCAAGAAACACGGCCTGGGAACCTTGTGTTCCAGAAGCACTGCTAGGTCTCCTGACACAGCTCACTCCCACAGGGTCACCAGTTGACGTCATGCTACACTTTCCCTATTGCCAGGGTTATTCCAGTTCAGAGTACTCTTGGACTACTCTGAACCAGTACAGATTAGCATTTATACCATTGCCACATCGCCCCTCATTCACCTGAAGCAACCCAAGGGACATATTCCAAAACAATTCAATGCTGTCAGGTTATCCCCACTAAGAACTTCAGTTGAAAATAAGTTAGATAATCACTTTCCTTAATGTCAATGTCAACTGCAGTTAAAGGATTGCAGTTTTTGGTAGAAAAGGTAATTTTTCAGTTGAGAAAGGAACTTGGCAGGATTTGAGGTCAGGGTTCTGGACTTGGCTCTGGTGCCAACTTTGTGACCCTGGGCAAGGCTGTCACCTTCCAGGCCTGTTTCCTCATTTGAGCCTGGCACTCTCAAGTTCTTCCCGGGCTGGTCTAGGATTTCCAAAGCTGACATGTTAACAGACGCCTGCTAATTTGCTGCTTCAGGTTAGCAAACTAAACTGTGTTCTATGCAGATGCACAGGAATCAAGTTCCACATGCCCAGCCCACTGAGGCAAAGTTTGTGCCACAGCTGGGAATGACAGCAAAACTAAATCTGCAGAGGCTACAGTCAATTGTTTTGTAGATACTGCTTTCTTTCATTTTTAAATCCTGAAAAGCCATTTTTCTACCATAAACTAAGAACAACAATATTTATTCTGCAGCAAATCTCAGAGTTCCTATAAAACTGCAAAATCCAAAAAGCTAAGGCAGTTATAAGATCAACAAGTGCAACACACAGCTTCTGAAACCCACCAAACACTCAACAATGTATTTTTATTTTTATTTTTATTTTTTTTTATTTATTTATTTTTTTTTAGTTCTCGGCGGACACAACATCTTTGTTGATATGTGGTGCTGAGGATCGAACCTGGGCCGCACGCATGCCAGGCGAGCGCGCTACCGCTGAGCCACATCTCCAGCCCCAACAATGTATTTTTAAAATGTGGAACTTCTATGAAAATTTTGTCAAAGACAAACAGCACACTATCAATAAAAGACAGAGTATGTTCACTTTGTGAAAATTCATAAATTTTACATGTAAAGTTTGTGCACAGCTATATATGTGTGTTACATTGCACACATACTATTTGTTTACTTATTTATACTGGGGATTGAACTCAGGGGCGTTAACCACTGAACCACATCCCAGCCATTTTTCCTATTTTATTAAGAGGCACAGGGCCTCTATAAATTGCCGAGGCTGGCTTTGAACTCGTGATCCTCCTACCTCAGCTGGGATTACAGGCGTGCACCACCACGCCCAGCAGAAAAGGGTTTTTTTGGTTATTTTTTGTTTTTGTTCTTAATAAAATATACTTTCACAAGATGTAGAAGTAAAATACTTCATGATTTTTTTAACTGCTATCATTCACTTCATAAAATTTTGAATTACTGTTTTCTAAACTGTTGAAGTAAACCTCTGAGTTAACATCAGCTTTCCGATTTAAGAAATAGTGAACTATAGGAACACTGCCTAATGACATATAAAATAACTTACAGTGCTTAGTAGCAAAACTCTCAGGAACTTTTAAAATTATGATGAGCAATTTTTCACTGCCTCTCTACAGAAAGCATTAATTTAACCTTGAAGCTCACTACCTATTTCAAATTTTTACTGAGGTAGGCAGTAAAACAATATACAACCTCATATCGGATTTGTTTTTTATTGCAAGAATAATACCAAGTCAGAGCAGGGCAGAGTGCTGCTTGCCTGTAATCCCAGCAGCTCAGGAAGCTGAAACAGGAGCATCGAAAGTTCAAAGCCAGCCTCAGCTACAGCAAGGTGCTAAGCAATTCAGTGAGACCCGTCTCTAATAAAATACAAAACAGGGCTGGGAATATGGCTGTGGATTAGGGTTCCTAAATTCAATCCTTGGTACCCACCTCCCTCAAAAAAAGAATGATACCAAGTCAGTATAAAAAACAGAATACAATAGGAAAGCATGGAGTATAAAAATGTAAATAACTCACAATCCATTCATCCAGACAGAACCATTCACTGTTCGTATTCGGTGTACTTCTGTATGTCTTTTAAGTTTTTTCCATACATGTAAATATATTTCATATTGGTAAATGAGTACCACATATACAACTTATATATCCTAAGTATCTCTCACACTATTAGTAAATTTTCATATAACTAATTGCTGTATAGTGTTCCACTGTACGGTTACACTCTACAATTCTATTTTCTAAGATATGGTTCAAATTTTGCATTTTCTCAGTAGATATGTGCCACAAGTTTTAAAAGAACTGCGTGAATTAATAAATTGAACCAAATAAAGCCAGTCAAGTGCTGGGGCATTTATTGAACAGATAGCTCCTATTTCTTTTAATGGTGTACATAGTTCCTAGGTGGTGAAGGTCAATACTTCCCAGGTAAAATACAGATATAGAATTAGTATTAAGTACTAAGCAGTTCTGATTAAATAGAGTTAAGAGGTTAGTGCAAAATCTTCAAATGTTATTTTTGAGATTTTATTAAACTGTCAATAACTACAACCTAAATTAGAAGCAGGTGGTCAGAAAGAAAATGAGCTAGAAGGAAGAGTTTATAATACTTGAAACTAATTTCAGTAAATAAGAATTGAGGAAAAATATTCACCTATAAGTTTGGAACCTTCTTATCAGAGCCAAGTCCTATTCTCTTCCCTACCCTATGGAACCTGAAAGGATAAAAGAGAACTTTCCCCAGAAGAGTTACAATCTCATCCTCCACCCATCCCCCCAAAATATTGGGCCAGGCACTTAATCAAACTTCAGTAAGACTTAACCAGGAAGCATGCACTTCCTGTTTGCCCAGCTCCTGCGGAACCAGTTTTCACCCTCACAAAGGCCTGCTGAGTGTCATCACCACTTTGAATACAAAGAGGGCCCATGGCAAAGGAGGAGTCTACGTGTACCAAACTATGTTCATTTTTGCCCAACTGTATAAACCTAGATTCTAAACTTTTATATATTATATATTAGGTCCAGGTAAGCTTTCTAGTTATCTTATTGATAATTTAAAAGGATATTTTTTATTGATAATTTATAAGGATGTTTTGAGGTTACCTCTGAATCCTGGCGTATTACTAATAAAGGCAGGACCATCTACAACAGTGCTTCCTCAGGTCCCCAAGTCAGATGACAAGGTTGACTTCAAAGCAGATTTATCAAATTGAGGCTTCCTCTTACCCACTCTAACTCAACTATATTTCAGCTTCTTCCCAATGCAAGCCATATTTTGTAACTGATAATTAATTTAACTATAAAAAGGAAAAGATTTACAT